TATTTCTTTTTTTTATTTTTAATTTTTTTCTTTTATTTTCTAATATTTTATTTATTCTATTAATATATATTTTGTATTATTTTATTTTTTTTCTTTTTATTTTTTTTATTTAATTTTTTTATATTTTTATTTTTTTTTTATTTTTTTTTTTTTTTTTATTTTTTTTTTTTTTTTTTTTTTATCTTTTTTTTTAATTTTAATTATTTTTTTTTTTTATTTATATTTTTATTTTTTTTTTTTTATCTTCTTTTTTTATCTATTTATTTTTATTTTTTTTTTTTTTTTTTTTTTTTTTTTTTTTTTTTCGTTTTTTATTATTTCTTTTTTCTTTTTTTTTTTTATTTTTACTTTTTTTTTTTTTCTTTTTTTATTTATTTTTTTTTTTGTTTATTTTATCGTTTTTTTTTATCTTTATCATTTATTTTATTTTATTTTTTAATTTATCTATTTTTTTTTTTTTTGTATTTTTTAAACATTTTTATTTTTTTTTTATTTTTTTTATTATTTAATTTTGTTTTAATCATTTTTTTTTTTTTATTTTTTATTTTTTTTTATTTTTTTTTTTTTTATTTTTATGATTTTTTCTTGTTATATCTTTTGTTTATTTATTATTTTTATATTCAAGCCAACTAAGTACAACCGAGGGTCTGAGCTAAGCCTCTATATTTTGGTCATTCTGAGGAAAGACCTAGCCACAATCGGCTGCTTTCTTTGGTTGACCAAGAAATTAAAGTTGGGACCAAGGTTAACGACAGATACCAGTAGTGGCCTTCTTATTCAAGCACATATTTTTGCCTTCAGTCTAGTTAGAGTACGGCCATTAAGAATAAGAACAACCACCAGAGAAATTGAAGGAACCATGACCTTTAATGTGCCTTTAGGATATCTGAGCAACCTTTTTACAGAGGCATAAACAACTATTCAATGGTTGCTTGCATGCGACATTGGCAGACATAATTAACCCACAAAGGCAAACTCTTGATCTTAGTGTATTAGTATATTGAAAGAGCACCTTACTAAACTTCATGTTAAAAAAGATGGTGACTAAAAGGTAAGTTAGCATTTAGAAGGAAAGATATTTAGAAGTTTTAGTGCCATGAGAGAGGGTAAGACTTGCCAATCACCTAATGCGCTCTTTTGGCTAGATCTCTGAGCATACTTCTGTTGAGAAAGTACATATCCAGTAGAGAAATTAGGTGACATAAATACCAAGAAAGTAGGTTAAAACTCCTAGTTCTTTTCATAGAAAAAGTCTCGCGCTCGCATTTTGTTGAATCAAAAGAAGCAATATAAAGAGGGTCTGCATGCCAGTGAGATTATGATATTCACCATTCCACATACTATGAGTAAAATCGGTTAATATAGAATTAGAAGCTTTTTGGACAACAAACAAAGAATAGAGTCACATTGGACTAAGACACAATTCTTGAGATAGAGGAGAAAAGTTGAGGAAAGTTAGACGAAACTAAGCTTTAGCGGGCTCTCATTTTAAGCCATAAAGAGCTTATGTTTTAATTTGCAAACAAGATGAGCGGTTGAGTAGCATGATTAAAACCCTGTGGTTGGGACCACCGTACATTTCTTCTTCAAGAACCTTATTGAGCCGAAAGCATTTTAGACAATGTTCAAGGCTGCTTTGATCTGGCTAATCAAAAATGGAGAGCAAGGCACCAACAAGGAATTCTGTGATAGTTGGTTGTTTAGCCACAGGACTAAAAGTCTCTATGATAATTTCATTCCCTTAGTTTTGAGGAAAGCGCTTTGGCAAACTAGTCTAGCTTTATGGTCTAGCTAATTGTGTCCCATTAAATTCCTTTTTCAACGCCATTAAACCCATTTTGCAACTAATGGCCTGTTTGCATGTGGTAAAGAGACTAAGGTCATGTAACCTTACTTTTTGAAGAGCTTCAATATTCATCAGAGGCCCAGCGACCATCGGCACTAGCGGGCCTGCCAAGTAGAAGATGAGGTAGCCTAGCGCAATAGGTTTGAGGTTCGAAGTGACAGTGGAAGCAAGGAAGAGCAAAAAGTTTGACCATCTGAGAACACTTGTTAATGATGAAGCAGAAGAAGAAAAAGCCCTTAAAAGGGGAAAACAAGACTCATCAAAGACTACATTGGTCTTGAGATGGTCAACACTTTGCCTGATTGGGAATCAAGACATCTTCAATACAACATAGAAGGACGTTTTAGAAACCAAGTTACCGGTG